TGAAACTTTACAAAGCACTTTATGATGGTCAAGAGATTGGATTTGACTTATGTAAGTCTTCTAGTCCTTGCTTTGCTGAAAAGTTTAACTTCTAACGACTAAAACAAGCTTTATTCGTAAGTTGAAGTTCTGAGGTCATTTATTTTTGTCAGCAATGAGGTCATGAATGAGGTCATGATGAGGTCATTTATTTTTGTCAGCAATGAGGTCATTCGTGATAAAAATAAAGCTAGCGTAGATTTTACAATACTGCGATGGTAGAGTTTAAGAGTTGTGCTTCAATGTAGAGACAGTCCTTATGGTCTGGAGGTAAGAACACTGGGCAGTTATGGTCATGAGTGGAGAACATGTCTATCCAAAACTCACGATTGAAGCCAGTTAATTTATAGTATTTAGGGTTAGGAAGTGGTGAAGTTCTTGTATGACCAATGAACTCATTTTCAACTCCCTTACTTAAGTTTGAATATAATATAGCTTGCTTTCTATCCCAAATGCCAGGTGTTACAATCTTTGAAAATTCATTTTTCCTCGGAAGCATTGCATCATAATTGAAAACATTCTTGAAATCATCACTTGGTTCAGAGATTTGAAATCTTATACGTAATGGATTTTCTTTCTCTTTAGCTACTTCATTGAATGGTGAGATAACAAACTGACAGTCATGAGTTCCATCTTCATTTTCATTAAATTCATAATGAAAGTCTATAAGTTGTGGCTGACTACCTTCTTCTTTCAGTTGTGCAAGAAACTCACGTAAAGGCTGTAAAGTTTGTACTTCAATGTTGAACTTTTTCTCGAACATCTCATTAAATGAAATCATACATTGCAACAATGTTGTATCGTCTTTAAAGTATTTGTATATGTGAATGTTTTGGGCGCTTAAAGACTGTTCGTCATTTTCTATCTCGACTTGAAGTATAAAGTCAACCTTTCTGAAAGCACGTGTTATATACATAGATGTTATGCCAATGTACTTCTCTTCATTTATGTTCACAATCCAGTCTGTTGGAAACTTAAACGTTACTCTGTTCCCCTTTATTTTGACGTCAGGGTTTTCACTACTGAACGCAACAGATAAAGGTATTTGTCTATACATTTAATTCGGATAAAAATAAACCATTTACTCTTTCTTTGCTTCAGCTTCTTTAGCTTTTGCTTCAGCTTCTTCTTCTCTAGCTTTCTTCGCCAGCAAACGTGGGTTCTTTTGTCTTCCAGCAGCTAATGCAGCAAGTTGTTTTTCACTAAGTTTTCTCTTTGGTCTCTCTGGCTTTTGTTCTTGTTTTTGTTCCTTCAGTTCGGATAAAATTTGCTCACGAATTTCTTTCTTCAATGCTTCAACATCTATGACCCCTTGGGTCTTGTCCGTAGGGCTTGTCTGAGTCATTTGACTGCAGATAAAAAACAAAATTAAAACTTTAACCGATGTAAAATGAGCTTGTCAAAATCAGAGCGAGAGTCTATTATATTAAATGACGCAAGAGGAATACAACATCCTTTCTATTACGTAAGTCAGAGTAAAGATGGTAAAATATACGTAAGAAAAAGAAAGGTTCCATTAGCGAATGCAGAAAGCGACAACATTAAGGTGTATGGCAAGGGTGAAGTCCACGAAGCCCATATAAAACCTTCTGTTCAAACTGAAAAGTCAATAGAACCAGAAGAAAAGAAGCCAGATGTACTTTCAATAACGAACCAAGAGCTTATTGCAAAGTTCGTGAATTTCATTGAAAAACAAACCGAGTCAAAGAACCCTGACCCGCCAGTGAAAGAAGTTGAGACAAAAGAGAATGTACAGTTCATTGAAAATGTCAAGAAACAACTTCCACCACGAATGCCAAGAAGAAGAGTGAGAATAATGAAGTAAATAGATATTTTTATCCGAAGTAAATACATGCAGAACGAACAGTTAAACGAATTTACTCCAGCAGAGCATATTCATCAGATTCGCTCATATTTCGATATCATAGACAATGCAGTTCAAATTGGTGACACTAATAGAAAATATTCTGACGCAAAGATTCCATCACAACCTGGAACTGCTAAAGATAACACATGGGTAACATTCAATCTCTCACCTCCTGGTGAAAATATGTTGGACCTTTACAATACATTCATTACGTATAAAATGGAAGGTCAATTTATTGTAGATAAAGAAATTGGTTCAGGTTCCAATAAAACAAACCCACCAGGATTTTGGATTGGTTTCGATGACGCTTTCTATGCAGTTGCTGGATATCAAATCCTTGCAAATGGTCGTATCGTATATTCTCAAGACAACGCAAGAGAAGAAGCATATATAACTTCAAACTCACAAACTACCGAACAAATAAAGAAAGTAGATGTTTTCTCAAAGACTCGACATGAAGATGTATGGAGTCATTCGGGAACATGCAGAACAGGACAAATTGTTAGTGGTCCAATTACAGCAGGAAAATCATTTGATTTTAAGCTTCGTTTAAGAATTCCTGTTAGAAGATTCCTTCCATTAGAAGCTATTCGATTTATTCCAGCTTTTGCAGGAAACATTCAGCTTAAAGTAAAGTTCAGTAGCGACGCCTTACAATGCACATCTATATCTGTAAATGATATCATTGCTTTCAATCCAACTCTTAAAGTTGCATTTGCTTCAGATTCAAATCCACCGACAAATAAATTTGTTCCATGGAATGAACCATTCACTATGATAACGAAGGCAGTAGAAGCTAGTGGAACAGTTACTATTACAACTGTAACCCAGCAACTATTTCGAACAAAGATGGATTTTAATGAATGTTTCATTCATCCAAAGTCATTCTCTTTAGACCCTAACATTTATACAGAACTTGTAGAACATTATACAAACGAGGCTTTATGTTTTCCTGTTAAAGTTATGGATTGGATTCCTATGGACGGTTCATTCTCAAAGAATACAGATAGTTCAAGTGCAACATTTACAGCAGCTTATACGCCTATTAATGTTAAAAGTATTTGGGCACTATTTAGAAAGAAAGACAACTATTATGTTAATTTTGAGAACCCTAAGTTTAAATATCTTCAGCTTTCCATGGGAGCTTATGGAAATATGCCTGCAGAACCTGAAAAATCATATGGACCTGTATTTTATGAAATGGTTGCGAACGCTTGCAATACAAACAATGATATGATTGGATTTAATGAAGATGTTATGAGGTCATTGGTGGATGATGGTAGTGTGGAACATAAATGGGATAGCTATGACAACACACATTTCTTATGTGGTTTTCCAACAGAAGTGGACTTTTGCTTCCAGCAAGGTCAAACATCTACTGCTCCAATAACATACAAATTGTCTGTTAAAGGACCTATTGAACTAGCAACTGAAAATGTACCAAAGCCACTTATTGGATTTATGAGGGATTGTTGCTTTGCCATTCAGGTAAGACAGTCAGGCATCCCCATAATAAGATTAGATGACTATAACTTAGCTACGGACGACGGTGAGGAATAAAGGATGAACGTTTATTTTTAAAGCTTATAAATGAGTTCTTCATCAAGCTCTCGTGAACCTTCACCATCTATTAAACAAACTTTACCAAACGATTATGGAGCACCTATTGAATATTTCTTACGAGCTGCACAATGGCAAAGAGCAGTCTCACCAAGGTTAGGTGTTCCACCAGCTCCTGTCAAAAATAGCATTTGGTCAAGTCCTTATATAAAATATGGTCTCCACTAGGTTTGCTAGCTACAGCAGGAGCAGTTATGATGTTGAAAAGAAATAAAGCAAATGTTGTAAATAATACTGAAGTAGCTGAAGTTAAACAAACTCCAACGCCTTCACAAGCAAAACCTTCAATGATCCTGAACCTATGGAAGTACAAACTCCTGTTCAAAAGTCAACTCCTAAACCGACTCCAACATTTAAACCAGAACCTACTCCTCAAATAAATCGTAAAACTCCTGCGTTTCCTTACTGAAAAAATAAAGTTATTTTATTTAATATTAAAATTTTTATTTGATTGAAATGACAAATAAAGTCACTGAAGCAATGAAACAAAAGTTTTTGGTAGAATACATTAAATCAGGAACTATTCCAGAAGGTTTTTACATTCATACTATGAAGGATGGTAGAGTTCAGTTTAGAAAGATAAAGCAACCATTAGATAGAGAAGGAATTTTGAGAAAGATTAAACTTCATGAGGACAACATTGCTGAACTTAAGAAGAAGTTAGAAGAGTTGGAGAAAGGAAGAGAGTTATAAAGCAATGAATTCAACAGGGTGAAAAAACAGGTGAAAAAAGAGGTGAGATCTCACCACTTCACCTAAATTTAAATGGATGTTTTCATACGTGTGAGGGTGGTGATATCATTTATTTTTAAGTTTATTTTTTATTTTACTAAAAATTTTTATTTGGATGTAAATGACAGAACAAAAGCAACTCATTCGAATTCCACAGTATAACAAACATACATTTAAACATTTATTCTTCCTTCCTGAGCATAACATGTTCTTTCAAATACATCCGAGACCAGTTGACTTTTCATTGACTGTGTATAAAGATAGAAATAGTTATATCATTAAACCATACGATGACGAAGGTAAGTTATGTAAATTGTACGTTAAGAAGTTAGAGAAAGTTTATGGCTTCAAGTATGACTACAATAGGGTTAACACTGATGATGAAGATATTGAGGAAAATTTATGAGAACATTAGTGAAGTCGTTAGTGAGAACGATAGTGAGAACGTTTATTTTTACATTAGTGAGTTCGTTAGTGAAGTGAAGTGGTTGGCAGCTTTGTAAATATTTAAGGTTAAGTTAGTTTTTGCGTTCATGTTGTAAAATATACGTTAACGGTTTTGTAAAGTGTCAAATTCACAAGTATTGGGTAAAGTGGAACGCAGTGCCACCATACCCAATACTTGTATACTAACTTTCGTTATACCATTCGGAAACATTTCCGTTCATGGCATCCAAAACTGTTGGCGTTATATTCTGAGCGGCGTACATTTCATATGGGTAAAAATATAGAATAGTTGGATTTATGTGTCATAATAGAACCCACTCGGACCAAGCTTTACTTTCTTCCTGACTGAGTTTTTAACTCTTCTTTTTCCTTCATTGCCACTACTTTCACTAGATGAAGTTACTTCTTCACTACTTTCACTTTGTTCTACTCTTCTCTTCTTCTTTGGTGTCGCTTTTGGTAACTTGCCCTCTGCTTCAAGTTGTTGCATCTTTGCCTCATGTTCACCTAGTATGTTGTAAATTTCCCATGTCCTTTTTGCCTTTGGGCTCTGGTCGCCCATCTCAGGTAACCTATATCCTAGAAAGATTTTGTCATAGTTTGTATTTGAGTCTTCGCTTATTGTTTGCATGACTCTTTCCTGAGTTTCCGGTTCAAGCTCTTCAAACAGAGCTTGTCCATATGGAATAAGCTCGTTTCCAAATATATGTTTTGTAGCCATTCTGGTTTTCTTTCCATGTTACAATAATATCTTTTGTGAATGGGAAAGCTTTTAACCCAATGTTTCAGTCTTGCGTCATTTATTTCTGTAGTTGGTTTTATTTTGTCAAGGAACATGTTTTTCAATACTAACATTTCATTTGGTACTGTCCATTTGAGTTTTCTTAAATATTCATCCATTCTCGTTCATTGTCTGCAAAGTAAGTTTTTATGACATTTTGCAAACTTTCGTTGCAAGGTCATGTACAATAGGTTCTCTTCCTTCTCTCTCCCTAACTTTCTTTCTAAACTCTTCACCAAATATACCATCTTTATGGTTCTGTGTAGTTCTTTGAGATAAATGTTCTAGAACGTCAGGTGTTATATTTCCATCAGCCATGTTCATTTCATACTGGTCCAAAATATCTGCATCTTTCATATCTTTCAATGGCATTAAAGCCGCGCTGAAAATACCAGCTATATCTGGTTCACCATTCACTTCCATTGCGTCTACAACATCTTGGAATTGAGGTTGTAAGTTTATGAACCACCTATCCGGATTAGCTTTATGACCCCATCTCATTGTAGTTCCATAGTCTGCAGAAACAAAAGTAGGTTGTTCCATATTGGTTAGGTCTGAATGAACTTTAAACAATGTTTCATTTCTATATGTTTGTTGAAATTTAACCTTTTATTTTCACCGAGTTCAGCCAAAGATTGAACGTTATATGGTCGTAAGTAAAAAGGATTATTGTATTTGCGTACATTATCTTTCAGTACTTCCATTCTATGCTGAATATTTTCATCTGATGTTGGAGTCTTTTGTATGTCGGCGAACATTTTTCGATATTCTTCTACTCCGTCAGCCGAATTTTTCTTAAACTCTTGGAAAGATTCCATATTCACCTCATACTCTTGTTGAGGGTCAAGATTTTTCGGCTGTTCCAAATCTTCATCTAGTTCTGTGAAGTTAGTTTCCAAAGGAGGGACTTGTTCGTTTCCTTCAGGCTCTTCTAGCTGTGTTGCTGAACTATTTCTTCCATGTCTGGTTGTATCTGAACTTCTTCCTGTTGAGTTTCTTTGTACCTCATCTGCTGGCATTTCATATATTCCGAGACCGTTTTTAACAAGTTCCCTATCTAAGTCATTCGGATCATAAACCTTTCTTCTTTCGTTCCGTCTCTATTTTTTACGCGTTTCATGAAGAGAGTTGAATTATCATTTAGCTCTGACACCAAATATCTCGGAGTAAATTCATCCATGTCATTTGGATGATATGCTATTAAATCATATCCCTTAGCAAGCTTGTATTTCCAGGTTGAGATTATATCCCATTTGATGCTGAACCATAAAGCTAAATAGGTTCGGGTCAGTATTTCCTTCCTTGAACTTTCTAATAGCTTCTTTATATCTGTCACTAAAGTCAAGAGTATCTGGTAACCATAATCTTCCTTAAGCATTTTAAGAATTCTTGGTTTCCTTTTTCTCTACTTCTTTTTATGTCCTTGCTCTGTTTGTGGTTGTTGTTGTGCAGGTTTTGAACTGTTGGTTGCTGTGCTGGTTGTGGAAGTGGTTGTTGTGCTGGTTTTGGTTGTGGTGCAGGTGCTGGATTTTGAACTGTTGGTTGCTGTGCAGGGTTTTGAACTGTTGGTTGCTGTGCTGGATTTGAACTGTTGGTTTTGGTTGTTGTGGTGGTGCTGGATTTTGAACTGTTGGTTGTTGTGTTGGTTTGGTGCATGCCTGTGTCTGTGTCCATGTGACGATGTAAATGTTTTAGGTAGTCCTGGTGCAGGTGCTTCTCTTGGAGGGTTTGGTGGTATATAAGTTCCACCAGCTGGCACATATGTTCCATCTGCAGCATAATGTCCTACCTGACTTTTCGTTTTTAAGAAAGCATTTACTAGGTCTGTTTTGGTCTGTTGTAACTCTTTTTCTTGACTTTCCACAACAGTTGCTCTAACGGCGTCATAGGCACTTTGAACTGCCTGTCTCGTTGCTGCATCTGTTATTTCGTCATATTTGTGCTACTTCTCTTAACTCTTTGTCGAAACCTTCAGACTTCAGTTTCTTTCCAGATGAGAAGTCGTTCACTAGTTTCACCTTACTATGAAGAGCTTCGAAGGCATTCTTAAAGTCAGCATTCATTAAAGCTTCATTTGAACTGTCTTCATCCGCTTGTATTTTTTGTCCTTATTGACCCTATAAGTTGGGCTGCTTTAGCGTTGGCTTGGGCATCTAACCAGTCATTATTAGCTTTTATATATTCTGCGCTTTTCATTGCCTTTTGCATGGCTGCATCGTTATTTTTACTTTCTTGTGCTAAGTTTTCATAATGTACGGTTTGGTTTTGCAACTGTAAAAGTTTTTCTGCCTTTACATTTGCTTCAACTTCTTTTTTATACTCATCGCTATCCATATATGTCTTCAGGGCTTTTTGTTTTATTTCTTCATCTTTCAGTACTTTATATTGAGTAGTATGGTTTTTTCAAATTTATAACATCTTGTTCCATTTTTGCTACTTCTGCTGCTTTTTCTGACACTTTTTCGCATATTCCTCTGTACTTAGTTCTTTCAGTTGTTCTTCTTTCTTCTTTTTCTCTACGTTAACTCATTGAGTTTCTTTGTGTGTCTGTCATATTCTAGTTTCTTTCGTTTTCACTTATTTGTTTCTGTATGTCTATGTTTGACTTTTGACATCTGATATTTGATTTTTGAGTGAACTCAAATTCATTTGACTTTGAGGGTTATAAGCTGTTCCGTCTGCAGCTCCACCATAGCCTGCCATTTTCGCTAAAAGTGCCGCTCTTAAACCTCCACTCTGTGCACCAATAACTCGGTTTAAAAGCATAGGGTTGCTTGACATTTGTTGCAACATAGTGGGGTCATTCATCATTTGTTGTTGCAACTGTTGTGTGGTGTCAGTTTTACTATTGGATGTTTCAATGCTCCCTTCCTCTTACGTATATTCTTACGTAGCTTACGTGGCATTTTAAGTGAAGTAAAAAGCGGTTTTTGACAGATGTTTATATGACACTTTTTGTTCAGCACAAAAAACTACTCAGTCAAAGTGTTGTCAGTTTTGTAAAATAACCGTCCTATCTCATTCTATAAGGGGGAAAAAGGCTTCTCAAAGTATACTTCCTTGGAACGCCTGTAACTTTTCCTGTAGCGACGATAGACCCTTGCTTGTCCGGACAAAGTTATACTATTTTGAGTGCTCTACAAAAAAAGTCAACGGCTGGCTCGTCCTCAGAAATTTTTTATGGCTAGAGGGCGCAACGCGCCTGGAAGCCCTCCGAATAAAAACTTCATTTATACTAAACATCTTCGGGGCTAGAGGGCGCAACGCGCCTGGAAGCCCTCCGAATAAAAACTTCATTTATACTAAACATCTTCAGGGCTAGAGGGCGCAACGCGCCTGGAAGCCCCACTACCTTTTTTTTCATATTTTGAACATTTTTTATTTTTGTTTAAAACTTAAAATTTTGCGAATTTAATATAATTTATAAAATATAATACGTATAAGGTCAGGTAAGTGGGGCCTCCAGGCACTTCGTGCCCTCTAGCCCTGAAGATGTTTAGTATAACTTTGTCCGGACAAGTAAGGGTCTATCGTCGCTACAGGAAAAGTTACAGGCGTTCCAAGGAAGTATACTTTGAGAAGCCTTCTTCTGGGTCGAAAACATTATATAATGTTTCGCTTTTCACAAATTATATATGTTTTCATGTTTTGTCACTTTTCTGTCACTTTTCAGGAAAAAAACATTTTTATTATATATATAATGAATTTTACAAAACCACCGTTACCCTTCTTTGGAAATAAGAGTAGATGTAAAGATATTCTATTGAGAGAACTTAAGAACTACCGAATGGTCTAACATTTGTAGATTTGTAACGGTGGTTTTGTAAAATTCATTTATATATAATAAAAAAATGTTTTTTCCTGAAAAGTGACAGAAAAGTGACAAAACATGAAACATATATAATTTGTGAAAAGCGAAACATTATATAATGTTTTTCGACCCAGAAGAAGGCTTCTCAAAGTATACTTCCTTGGAACGCCTGTAACTTTTCCTGTAGCGACGATAGACCCTTACTTGTCCGGACAAAGTTATACTAAACATCTTCAGGGCTAGAGGGCACGAAGTGCCTGGAGGCCCCACTTACCTGACCAAGTAGACTGGACTTTGAGAAGCCTTTTCTGTCACTTTTCAGGAAAAAACATTTTTATTATTATATATAAATGAATTTTACAAAACCACCGTTACCGTTCTTTGGAAATAAGAGTAGATGTAAAGATATTCTATTGAGAGAACTTAAGAAACTACCGAATGGTCTAACATTTGTAGATTTGTTCGGTGGAAGTTTCTATATATCCCATTTGTGCCATACAATATTCCCAGACTCAAAGATTATATGCAATGACTTCGACAACTATATGGACCGTCTCAAACATATACCAGACACAAACAATATATTGAAAGAGTTAAAAGAAAAGATACCTATAGGTAAGATGGAACGTATACCATTAGATAAGAAAAATATTGTGAGAGAGGTTTTGAAAAAAGCAGAATATATAGACTGGGATAGTATATACTCTGCTAGACTATTTATATAGTGGTGCTATAAGAGTTCATGACATTGAAACACTTATGTCAAACGTTTTATATCTCTACTATACAAATGTTTTCAAAGAGAGACATAGAAAAATATATTGAGGGTATAGAGTTTGTGAGATGTCATTGACAGAGTTGTATGAAAAATATAAAGACAAGGAAAATGTTTTCTTTATAGTGGACCCGTTTCTATAACACATGGGATTTTTCAATACCAAGTAGACTGGACTTTGAGAGACTCTTTAGAAACTTTAGACGTTTACATAACCATCCATGCTTTTACTTTACATCCGATAAAAGTGGTTTGGAAAACCGTTATGAGATGGTTAGAGGACAGACATGACTATGAGTTTAGATATGACAAGATAGAGTATGAGAGAGGTCCCATAAACTGGAGAAAGTGTCA